GAAAAATATTTGGGGGTGCTTAACTTTTTTCCAGGTGTATATATATTACATATCTCTTCTAAAGATTAGAATACATTGTTTCATCAACTGGATATCTTCAATATAAATGATATTTTTGGCCATAAACCCAGTAATATCTTGAGGTTCAACCGGCTTGGGGCTGGTTGGTTGTTTCGCACAAAGCAACTAAGCTATCTGCGCCCCGGCCTAGGGGATTTTTGTTAGTCCTAAATACATTGTTTGTTTGTTATGAATTTCGCACGAGGGCTATCTGTACTACCTGTCCCTTATTTAGCAGTGAAAGACTTTTGGGCTACTCTTTTGCCAACAAATAGTAGGATTGACCGTCACGTTATAGCACCCCCACGGCTGAAAGGGCGAGCGTGTTTGGTGGGACTGGGATTTGAACCCGCGAATTTCAGATTGCTAGTCAAGCACCCAAACCACCTGGCCCCTAAATACATATACTATGCTATTAATGCAAACAATCTTTATAATGAAAGTATAATACTAAAAATAAACATTCTAACCAATACTATTAAGGAAAGTAACTACAAACAACAGTGTATTATCGTACCTACGGAACATAAAAGCACTGACATTCAGCCACCAGAGGTGCCAAATGTTTACCTCAACAAACATCCACACTTGTACAGATAGCCTGCCACCAATTTTTCTTGTTCAATATGGATCTACTTCCAGCCTCAGCTGATTAGGCACATGGCTGTACTTTGCAAAGACATAAAATCACATTTGTGGCCTGGTCAGATCATCATATATTGTGCAATAGCTGCGCCATCTGGAAAATACATCACGGCTCCAATCAGTGACAAAGCAACACCAGTCAAGCCGTTAGTCACTTGATCATAGGACTACAAATATTACATGTCTAAAGCTAACTACTAAGGATCGGTAAATCAAATCTCAGGATCAACAAGAGCTTCAAGTTTTTGTTGGAACAGTTTTGAAAATTGAAGAATTATTAAAACCAAGATACACGGTAATGTGTCTTGCGGCCAAAAAACAACCTGCAGGACACACTGTTAGTAACAGGAGTGATAATTTAGCGATATACCACCTTCCGTAGCTAGGCCTGTGGTAATCTAAACTATCAAATATTTTCAGTGGATGTGCTCTACTGGACTCTTATATTTCTTCACATACCAAATTTCAAAGCAGTCCATTAAGAAATACCTGAGATATAACATCTCCAATTTTGATTCAGTTTCTTCCTAAGATTTTCTTCGCATCAAAAGTATGGAATTTTTTGTTGTCTTTCAAAATTTGTTGGCCGGGTGGTTAGGGCGCTTGACTCGAAATCAGAGGGTCGCAGGTTCGAATCCCCGTCCCGTGGGAGCGTTATGTGACGGTCAATCCCACTATTTGTTGGTAAAAGAGTAGCCCAAGAGTTCGCAGTGGGTGGTGATGATTAGCTGCCTTCCTTTTAGTCATACACTGCTAAATTAGGGACGGCTAGCACATATAGCCCTTGTGTAGCTTCGCGCGAAATTCAAAACAAATAAACAATTTGATGTGCATACTGGAAGGATTTGCACATTTTAATAAAGTTCAGAAAGAACGACCTTTACACTCCAGATAAATATAAGAATATATTTTTATTTCAACCAACGTTTCGACTTTGCGGCGTCATTGGGGTTAATAAATTAAAATATATTCTTTTATATCTATCTGTAGTGTAAAGGTTGTTTTTTCTAAACTTTTATCAAAATATGAAATACTTATTTGATAGAAAAACTTAAATTTTTATGGATATTTTTTCAAATTTAGTACACTGATATATCTTTACAACTTACAATTAGCAGTCTCATTTGGTATAAATATAGGCCACATGTGCAAAGTTATTCAACAAGAAAAAGTCACTTGAGCTATCAGTCTAAAATTTTTACTACATCTTCACCTAAGACTAAAAGTGAGGCGTTTTTAGTTTGTTTGTTTTTTTTTCATCCAGATTAAAGACTACTGATTTAGAGCAGCAAAACTATAGAGTAAAAGTGCAGATACATAAATATTGGTTAGGCCAAACAAACTAGATTAGCTCAAGTTTTCAAAAGAATTATACAGATGGATGGTTATTATTCATTGCCAACTTTTAAGCATAAATTTGCTAAATTGTCCATTTAAAAAGCATTTAGCGCCTCGTGATATTAGCTTAAGCAATTAGCATAAATAATGATGCTAGCTGTTGATGTACCAAGATCATGCAGGTGATGACAAAAAATTGTTAATCTAAATTCCATGGCTTTAGTAGAAAGTAAGCTATTAAGACTGATTTAGAGAGGGAAAATTACCACCATATATATCTAAGAATCTGGTTGGTTCTGTAAAGTAAAGGTCTCTACCGAATAATGGGGTTGCTATACTAAAGCTAATGTTAGTTATTATTGAGTGTCAGTTTCTTACTTGCTGTGGTTTGTTGTATGTATTTACAAAAAGTCATGATATCTGATCAAAAACACTTTGGATGTGAAAAAAAAGTGCTGCCAAAAATGATTCAGTGTGCGCCTGGTAGCTACACTTATAGCATTGATATGAATTTTACAACTAATATTCATTCATTAGTTAGTTAGGCCGCGTATTTTATTTTACCCACCATCATGCTCTTGAGCTACTCTTTTCTCCAACGAATAGTAAGTTTGACCGTCTCATTATCACGTCCCCATGGCTGAAAGGGCGAGCATGTTTGTTGGATCAGGGATTCGAACCCGCGACTCTCAGATTGTGAGTTAAGAGCTCCAACCAACTGGCCATGCCGAACCAGGAAAATAAGTGTGAAGCACAAGCTCAGCGCTATCGTGACTGTATACTTAATTCGATTAGTGTATGCTGATAACATAGTCATTTGTTTACAACAAAGCCGTACCTGTAATAAATAGCTATACGTATGCATTGAGAGGGTCTAAGTACAACTGTAAAAAAATAAATAACTAAATCAAAAATATATTAGTGATGGCTGTCATAGATACAAATAACATTAGATTGGTCAGTCACTACTCTTCATCATTGCGCATGCGGCCGCCATTGCTTTGTGTTGAATTTCGAACTGGCAGACAATGTGAAATGGCTGATAGTAACATTAGCCCGTCTAAGTCACGACCTGAAAGAACGAAGGGAAC